CTCAAATCATCTTCGTAATATTTATCAAACTATAGATCCTACACATCCACTGGACGTGGATTCTGAGAGTACAATATACACTTCTCGCTAGAAATCTAATCAAAAAGCATTTTAATGGCCAAACTATCCTACAATTTAGGATTTTCCAGAGAGGGTTATTTGTGAATATACGACCCTGAGTAGCGTTTGCATTCAACGGGAGCACTAGAGGTCGAAAACTTTAAAACGTGAGTATAGGTCGTAATAAGCGCTTGAACAATCGACCTATTTGGTCCAACCCGGTATCACGGCAAGACGTGAACATGTGACGATCTACCATGCTGGGAGAGGTGAATATATCACGGTTTCGTCCCTTCAAACGTGACAGTTACACGGTATTGTTAACATGGCCCAAACAGTGGAGAAATACCCGGAAGTGCCAAGCAAATGGTCTACCGCGCCTATTGGTCGGTTTTTATTGTCAAAATTAGATGTTTTTAATTTATTTTTTAATCATCACACTTGATTTTGCCGATTTTCTTGTTGCCCTAGCTGGTCGACACCTCTTTTAGCAGAAACAAAGGCTACATTAATGTATTAAATCGATGTTAATCCATGTGTGTGGAGGTGAGGATGTGGAATTAACGGACGTGACGTTGTGCGATTGCGTTGCCAGGCAACCCAATTTACAAACTCTTCAACTACAACCCTAATTATATTTTAAAACATTTTAGAAGGCCTCACGAAATACTTTAATGTAAATTAAAATGTAAATGTGAAGGGGTGTGTGTAATGTGGTGATTGACATTATTCACCCACGGATCTATGGGTTGGGGGTATTGTTCCGCACGGACATTTTAGTTAAACGGACTTACTGTTGATGTGAAATCCGAAAAAAAATACGTTATACACCATAACGGTGCACAGCTGATATAAAAGGACTTGTCGTTTTTAAAGATATTACTGGTTTTCTTTTAATATAAGAATGTAAATACTGAGTTGAGAGAATAGTCAGGGGATTTGGGTGATGGGAGACACATCTATGGATTCAGAATTTCAATAGCTTACTGTTAAATGACAGATATACCTTTCTGTCTGTGATGTTTTACAAATCAGATATTATAAGTAAAACATGTGAAATAATATAGCAATATCCTGTACAATTATGTGAAAACATGAATAAAACTACACATCTTCAGATATTATACATACACAAGTGTCCTACACTAATAATACAAAGTTATTATGGCTGTGTGCACCGCCTAGTGGTTAAAGCACGTTATTGAATTAGTTGTGTATATATGTCAATGATCCTTAGAAAATCTTGAAATCTTGAAAGGGATATGCAAAATAGCCATTATATACAGTCTTTAATGAACTATTAGTAGAGAATAACGAGTAATGAATATACTTTATAGGGATCTGCAGATAAATGTTTAGTCTTCTCAAGCAGCAACTATCAAATATCTCTCCTGATTGTTGGCACTTGACAATCACCTTTCCCTGAATTTTACTCAGGTGTAACTAAAGCCTGATTTAAGGGTTGTTTATATTTCACATCATTAATCAGAATCTGCAAAGTAACTAAAATAAATGTAGTGGAGTAAAAATACCAGGTTAACCTCTGAATTGTAGTGGAGTAGAATTGCTGTTTTGTTTAGTAATGGATATTGAATATGGAATAAAGGTTTTGACAAGACCTGGTGTAACAATAATCAAAAAGGACATTAAAAGAGCTCCAGATGTCAATGATCTAAACAAAACAGCACACCTGAAATGTATTAAATACTTTATTAAGGGCAGTGAATTAGTTTTTTCTGTATGTTTTTCAAATCAGTGTTATACAGTAAGTGTCATAGACAGTGTTACATTGCTATTATTATCCTTAAAATATATATTATAAAACAAAACCATTTATGATCTTTTTTTTTGGGTGGTTTACTAATGACAGTTAATTCTGTTTCTGCTATTGATGGTTTCATTTTTGTGAAAAATAATCAAATAATCAAATTCAATAACGTGCTTTAACCACTAGATGTGCCTTTCTATCAACTGTGCACCGTTATGGTGTAAATACAGCCTATCTACCAATTGGATCAAATATAAAAGTCAGCCGAATTATTATTGATACTGCAAGGAGACGTATTGTGTGAAAATAAATGTAAGATGTTGTTTAATTGCGGATATATTTATGATCCACGTCACGTTTTCAGTTTTGGCGGCAGTGCTTCCTGTTTGTCCAGAAGTCTTCTCATCAGGGCTCTATAAATACAGAACTACGGCAGATGTGTCATATTTAATGCAGCCAAACCGTGTATTACAATGCCGTTATGTGATGACCTCCAAAGAGAAAAGCAAGCAAACTCGGAATAAAGTATTATTTTATTTTTTTTAAATGTTTTCGGATTTCACATCAACAGGAGTCCGGTTAACTAAAATGTCCGTGCGGAATAATACCCCCAACCCATAGATCCGTGGGTGAATAATGTCAATCACCACATTACACACATTCCTTCACATTTACATTTTAATTTACATTAAAGTATTTCGTGAGGCTGTTTTAAAATATAATTAGGGTTGTAGTTGAAGAGTTTGTAAATTGCGTTGCCTGGCAACGCAATCGCACAACGTCACGTCCGTTAATTCCACATCCTCACCTCCACACACATGGATTAACATCGATTTAATACATTAATGTAGCCTTTGTTTCTGCTAAAAGAGGTGTCGACCAGCTAGGGCAACAAGAAAATCGGCAAAATCGAGTGTGACGATTAAAAAATAAATTAAAAACATCTAATTTTGACAATAAAAACCGACCAATAGGCGCGGTAGACCATTTGCTAGGCACTTCCGGGTATTTCTTCACTGGTTGGGCCATGATAACAATACCGTGTAACTGTCACGTTTGAAGGGACGAAACCGTGATATATTCACGTCTCCCAGCATGGTAGATCGTCACATGTTCACGTCTTGCCGTGATACCGGGTTGATTTGGTCGTATGAGTTGGAGGACTTGTTGACTCAGAAATATCAACACTGTGTGGTCTTCTACATCAATTTAAACAAGGACATTATGTGTTCCTGAAGTGTCTTTTTAGCTGTTAAACACAAAATGTACACCCTTTATAATACTTGTTTAATTACTTTTGTAATCTATTGCCTTGTTGTCTTTATCATTAACATTTTAATTTGCTGCCTAGCAATGTGTGTTATGTTAAACTGTTCATTAAAATAAGTTCTGCCAACTAATACAAAAGATACATTAAGAGTTTGACTAACAGCTGATTCTCTAAAACATGTATGACTGATATAAGAAGACCTAGCTCCTGTAATGTTTAGCATTGTGTTTTTTTGTTTGCGTGCTTATACAACACTTAACTTACATTTAGAATATTTGTGTCATTAACCATTGTGCAACTAAAATTGTTTCTTCTTTTGCTTTGCTTTGTTTTGTTTGATGTTTTTTCTGAGTAGCTTTGAGACACACAAAAAACATATTTATATATTCTTCTGTCAGAGATATCAAAAACTGCAGGAGCGACTCTGAAGACGGTTGTGGATCAGCCTGTTTGCAGCTCTGCTAATGAGACAGGGACTGACTGAGCCTGAGGATGAGGAGGGGGGGGGGGGGGGGTGCTGTCTCACTGGGGTTTTGATCACAGACCTCCATCCACTAAGTCATATCACTGCGGAATCACAGCTTCTCCTCAGGCAACATGGGCCTGTGTGTGTGTGTGTGTGTGTGTGTGTGTGTGTGTGTGTGTGTGTGTGTGTGTGTGTGTGTGTGTGTGTGTGTGTGTGTGTGTGTGTGTGTGTGTGTGTGTGTGTGTGTGAGTGAGTGTGGCACAGAGTGTGAAAGTATGTGAACAGCATGCAGCTAATCCCCCCCGTGCTCAGCCCTCCAACATGTTGTTCATTTGACCTTTGAATTAGCTCTGATCACCTACCTGATGAACTCTGGGTAATGTGTACTGTAACTTTACAACACTGTTTTTTACTATTGACTAACCTATCAAGCTGTTATGCAACTCATGAATAATTAGTACAATAAAATGCCCATCACAAGTTCCTCATCATATACATTATTTAGGTAGCGCTTTCATTATGGACAACCGGCCAACAACCACAAGAGATTTAAATAAGATAATAAAGTGAATGCTAAAGTATTATCACACAATATTTGATAATTAAGTGAAAATATTACTTCAGAGTAGTTGATTTTCAAAAGTGACATTAGCACATTTACAGCTGCTAACTTTGATCTCCAGAATCACTCTTGTTTCTATTCTACAAAAAAAGGTGAAGCTATAAAACAGTACCAAATTGTTTTTTCTTGTTTGTTTTGCCAAGATTGGTTATAGGTCACTATACAACACATATTGAAATGTTTCTGCTTAACTTTACAGTGTAGCCTACTGCATAGGCCAAATCCAAACACATCAGCAAACATTAGAATAAACAACAACATTATTATACTTAAACATATGCAATTAATTAATCTAAAAGCAACATGATGAGGTTAATTCAGTTTGAGAACTGCTATTAAATATGAAGGAAAAAGGCTCGGATGTTTAGTTTTACGAGTAACAATAGGAATATCACAAAAACAAAACAAGTTGTCACAAATGAGGTTCATAATGATACCATCGTAGAGGACAACTACTTTCACTGGGCTGAAAACATAGCAATACAAAGCAGAGCATAAGACCAATATAAAAACATACAGTCATGACAAGGATTACTGTTTGGAACAGATCCCCAAAAAGTCTGCGACACGAATATATGGTTGTTGTCTAAACACACAGCTCGTCTCGGTCCTCGGGGAGCAGACACGCCCAACCCCTAAACATGCGGCTCAACAACACACTGCGACTTCAAACCGCAGAACTGAGCATTGCCAACGGCAGCTGCAGGGACTGATAGCCGCCAGCAGCAGCACATCAGCCCGCAGAGCCGCACGGCCACCGTCTCATCCCTCACAGCCTCCAGCCCCCCCGGGCTCCCTCCGCCGGGGCGCTTACCTGAAGCTGGCCGGGGACTTCACCTGGATGTTGTTGCGGCCAGAGGGTGTGCTGACTTTCCGCTTCTCTCGGTCCGCCATGCTGCCTTGTTACCATTCCTCCATTGGCTCCGAATGTGCAGCCGCCCAGCAGACACCTGAGGTCCGGCGATGCTGCGATACGGTGCTGCCTTCAAGGACTGTGGGAAACATAGCAACTCAGCAGAACTTCGCAAAAATGACTATTCTAGTGGAGGATTTGGAACATTTGTGTTTTGTTTGACATGTTTTAGTGCCTATGCAAGTAATTTTCCGGTCCATCATATAATAGATTACACGTTTGTTGATAATAATACAATCGATAAAAAGCCTAAATGTATAAATTACACAAAGTTGAATAGGCTATGTTTACAGTGTGAAGACCAGCAGACTATTACAGACATAGTTGTTCACTCAACTTTCAACAAGTAGCCTATGACATTGTTTGTGGGCCACAATTTGAACTAGCTTACAACGTCACATGAGTCAGGCCACTGAAAATTAAAAATAAGGAGACAGAGGAGGGTCGGGAAATTGACAAACGTACCCTTGTTCTTTCTTTTTGTATTGAATTGCATTTTACAACTGGAATGTAGCCAGGGACTGTCTTTGTTGTTATACACAACAAGTTACAGACGGCCAGAGGTTGCACTAGACCAGGGGTAGCCAACACGGTGCGCGTGGGCACTTAGTCGCCCGCAGGGGCAACGTGAGTCGCCCGCCGGGCATGTTCTAAAAATAGCTAGCCAAGCAAATTCAAAATGTATAAAATACACAAAACAAAAAAGGAAATGTAATTAAAAGAATCTACCCTATGCATAAACGAAACCTAAATCATAGCGAACTCTATCTACTTACTACAACTCTATATCTATCTAACACCCCTCCTCCCCCCACCCCCACAATGAATATCGACCAATCACGTTCTTGCTTGATTTGCAAGTTTAAATGATCTGTTATTGGTTGTGATCATATTCTAAAGATGTTTGTATTATTGAAAAGTATACAGCTCCCTTTCATATGAGTGTTGAGAGCTGTATCCATAAATTCATGTTGTGCTCAAAGTGCACCAGATTGATGCATTTAACTTCAACATTTAAAAAAAAATCTTCCCGGGGGAGCATGCCCCCGGACCCCCCTAGAGGAGGTGTGGACCCCCCTAGAGGAGGAGAGGTCCACCCCCAAATAAAGCAGGTTAAAATAATTAGATTGCATACATTTTCTTTTAGTAAACACTGAAAACGGGTCCCACAGACCCAAACAGCACACAAAGGTTAAAGGTAAGCATATCATAATGTTAAAATGTGCCAAATATATACACTGCAAAAAACAAAAAAAAGAGGAGTAAAAGTAGCCCCCAACTTGTTTTATTTTTTGAAAGTAGCCCTCATCCTAAAAAAGGTTGGTGACCCCTGCGCTAGACTTTTTCGCTGCCCGTCATTTTGACGGACAGGATCGTAACATTTCCGTCAAAATCCAGTATTACCAATCGGCCTGTGAAGCTGACCATTGAGCGGCCCGACCAAGTAAGGAGGCAGAGGCAGAACGTCCATATACAACCCGGTGTGGGCATTTATTAATCATGGGCACATGATTCACAGCATCAATATGTCTGTCTCCAGCACTATCCCCTCTCTGTACATTGTCATCATAATTGTCATAAAGAATATTCACAATATCATGTTCATAGCATTACCAGTTGTTTATATCCATCTGTTAATTTAACCCAAAACAAACATTATAACTGAACAGAATAAACATAAATACATTCCCAACTAAAACAGAAACCCCTGCACCTATCTCGCCACTTGGTTCGTCCCGGAACCTTCTTTGTCAGTGTTTGTTCCCCCCGAGGACCGTTTGGCCGAACACACTAGCGGACACCGGACAAGACAGCATGGGTGAGTGATAGATGTAAACTTTACACAGTGTTCACTTGTACAATTAATGCAACTTAACGTCATGATATATACACGCTCAACATATTATATGCACCCTGATTAATCTCAACCAGCATAAACACTTTCGGCGCTCTCGCTAACCCCCCTATCTTTTCAGGTGGAGCCGAGGACCCGACCAGCATTTAAGACCTAATATAAATAAAAGGGTCATGTTAGAAAACAATTCACTCACAGATTCATAATCATGAAGGTGGAATCTAACTATATACATAATAAAATGTATTGCAGCCAGGGCTAGAAACGTTTTTTTTCTGCTGTGAAATTGGGCATTTTAACATGGGGGTCTATGGAAATTGCTCCTTTCTGCAGTCATCGCCTATCGGCCAATATATGAACTGCAGTTTGTGGCACTTCCGTATTGGCGTCCCGGCTCTTCCCCAGAGTTTGCCGCTTGGACCTCACACATTGTTTTCAGGCCTATATCTGCTTTCTACAGTATAGTACTTTGTGTCATCTTTGGAAACATCAGCATTTTCTAATAGATTTCTCAACTTCAAAAACAAGTTATGTGGGTTTGAACAATGCTCAGCTACACAGCATTAGTTTGATAGTTGATCAGGGCCGTCCCTCACTACAGGAAGATCACGCAGATTGCGTGGGACCTCACCTCGCGGAGGGGGCCTCATCTTGCGGAGGGAGCCTTAACTGAGCCGCAAATGCGGCACACCTATGCGTTTATGCGGCGCAATTAGTGTGGTGCGGCACGGTTTCCAGGCTCCAGTAGCCCCCCCCTCCAGTAGCACCCCCCATCGACGCTCGCAAAACAGAGGGCCTCATCATCTAACTTTGCGTGGGGCCTCAAGTTGGCCAGGGACGGCCCTGGTTGTTATGCATTTTGGGAATTATTGAAATCTTATTTTATGATAATCATAAAAGTCAACCCAAGCTGCTAAACCTTCACATTTCTTGACAAAAGAGGTGCATGCGGGCCGGGCCTATACACTCTAAAAAGTCATTCAGGCAGTGGCGAGCCGTGAGCTTTATACCTAGGCCCTCTGACCCCCACCAATGCCCTCGAAAAAAAGAAAAAAAAAGAGTTATTACGTCACAGCGTATACTTCAGCGGAATATCAAAACAACGGCCCAGGGTGCAAAACGCATCAATGACAGCGACCCTCTATCACACAAAACAACACCTGTGAACCCAATTTGTGTTCTTTGACATTGAAAATGATATTGCATTGTGTTTGTTACTTTCGTTGCAGTTGTATGTCTTAAGTGTAATTTGACATGCTTTTATTTTGAAGGCTAGTTCACGCTGTTGACAGGAAGTTGTTGTTGCTATGGAAACAAGAAAAGTTTCACAGCCGGCGGAACTTGTCATAAAGTCCGCGATAATAAAACCCACCCATTTAGAGGGAAGATATGATTGGTCAATTGTACTGTCATTTGACATTACTCTCTCGTTCAGTTACTATAGCGGGCCCTCTGTGAATCGCAGAGAGGGCCAGACGAGCTTCTTTCATGTAACCCTTCACATTCAACAGAGACTGAACAGGCAGATTCGAAGGATTTATTTCTTTGGAAATGTTATTTTAAATACAATTAAATCAAGTTTTTTTTCGGTAAAACTAATGAAAGATATAACAAAAATAATATTAAAAAAATATATATTTAAACAAAATATTTTTTTTTTAAATGTTTTTAAATATTATTTTTTAGAATATCTTAGGCCCTCACAGAGGGCCTAGAGGGCCCTGACGGCTCGCCACTGCATTCAGGGGACCTTTTAACACCACTTAAAGGGGACCTATCATGCAAAATGCACTTTTGTACGTCTTTTATACATGAATATGTGTCCCCGGTGTTCCAGGGAACTCACCAAGTGTCAGAAAACACAACCCTCTCTATTTTCCTCCATACCCAAATCTCAAAAAAAGGCGCTGCAACGGATCTGATAAAAACTGATCCAGATTTGAACACTGTCCTGACGTCAGGACAGTGGCGCTACGGCTATTGGGCCAACTCTCCACCTATCAGGGGAATGTGGGGTTGGGCCACGGCCGGCCAGTGCTGCTCGAAAGCGCTGGAGACGTTGTAGTACATATGCCAGGCCTGTAAGTGGCGCTGTAGTCTGCCATAAAAGCAGCGAAGAAGACTTCCCGTGCATGGTTACCCTTCTGTTTATTCTCCGCTGTGGCTTTTTTTCTCCCTCCCCGAGGCAAGCGTTTGCTCCTGCTGCTTTAATTCAATGCAATCCCTCCCCGTCGAGGCAAGCACTGTAATTATCTCCGGTTAGTCCACCAGCAGATGACAAAAACCCACCTCTCCGCCTCTTCCAAGGAACGAGGGGACCGTGCGGCAGAGTTTCAGTTTCAGTTTCTTTCGCCGGTCAAGATGTCCGTTCAAGTTTAAATCTTCCGGACAAAATTTGAAAAGTGCCGGTCAAAGGTCTTCTTTGTTATTTATTGAGCTTTAAAACAAATGAATAACGACTCTATATAATAAAACACGGAGGACGGAGATCTTTTTTTCTCCCCCTCTTGACTTGATCAGAGCACGGCTCCCCTCTCCTGCAGGGGGGCGTGGTCAGCTGCAGCTCACAGAATCAGCCCCCTGCAAAAACAGTGCTGGAGAACAGCAAATAGAGCGAAATGAGGCATGGCTAAAATGCATGATCTGTTTGGTATTTTGAAAACTGAAACGTATAAATATACCTTATATAGGTATGGCCCTACAATATATCATTTAAATATAGCATGATAGGTCCACTTTAACCTGTTAAGCCGTGAGCCTGTTTTTCAGGTCTCAGGCTCGAAAATGACATTCCCAGAACAAATGACCATATCTTCCCTTCTAAAAGGGTTAAATTAATAATCTTTTTTCTCAAAGTAATGATAAACATGTGAGTTGGATGTAGAAAAGTCAGAATCAATATAGATGTTTTTTATTTGAAAGAAAATTCAGATTTTACATAGTGAAAAACTGTAAATTATAGTGTCCGTCCAAAAATTATTTTTTACTTATAGTGAAAACCACCCTTGGATGATGGGTTAGTAGACTAAAAGCTTTAGGAATCCAAAGTACAAAATATAATAAGTACCCTGTATCAAGATTGATGCAAAACAAGTGACATTTGACCTTTTTAGAGAGATTTAGCAAAAAGAAACCACTTCTGGGGTCATTTGGATGGATTTTCCATATCTCTGGCTTCCCTTGCT